CACAGGGATCGATCCTTGGTCCAACCCTTTTCCTCCTTTACATAAATTCCCTGTGCACCTTATCCCTTCCCTATTCTTCTATCATTACCTATGCAGACGATACTGCAATACTTGTCCGTGGCTCAGACTGGCCATTAGTGTTTGCTCGTGCAGAATGCGCTCTTAGTCGTGTAATGCAGTGGCTATCTAACAATCTTCTTACACTTAACCTTAAGAAAACTACTTACATCACGTTCTCAAAGACAGCTAAAACTCAACCACCTTTGGAAACCTTCAATATAAGAGCTCATACTTGTTCGACATACACATCCACTGATACCTGCAACTGTCCAACTATACTGAGATCCGCACACACAAAGTATCTGGGAGTTTTTGTTGATAGTCATATTTCATGGAAATACCAACTGAGTAATGTAACTGCCCGTGTCCGCAAGATGATATACATTTTCAAAAAATTGCGTTATGCAGCTGATTTTGACACCCTGAAATCAGTTTATTACGCATTGTGTCAATCTGTTTTAACATATTGTATATCTATCTGGGGTGGCGCTGTGAAATCGTACCTTCTGCCCTTGGAGCGAGCACAAAGAGCAGTCCTTAAGGTAATGACTTTTAGGCCTATTAGATATTCGACTGCACAATTATATCACGAATGTGAACTGCTTACTGTCAGACAGCTCTTTGTGCTTGAAACAATCTGCAGAAAACATATTGGTCTGGAATATGACATTGAAGTCACAAGAAAGCGCCGTGCACGAAAGGTCTGCCAAGCCCAAAGTTCTAGAAGTGCGTTAGCTGCGCGCAGCTTCAATGTCGTAAGCTGCCACTTATATAATGTAGCTAATGAATACTGTGACATCTATCCATTAACTAGATCGCAATGCAAGAAACGAGTTACCATATGGCTCTTATCCAAATCTTATGAAGATACAGAAAATTTGATTAAACTAAGTATACTATAATTCTAATGCATCCCTCACGCACACATACGCAGACACACACACATACAAAGACACACACACACCCATACACACACACACACACACACACACACCAACATACATACAGACTTTGTAACATAATATACTCGTATATAAACATATAATAATGCGATATATATTATTATAATATTAATATCTATTTCTATAGGTTATTTCTACCTTAAGGCTTAAGCAATCCACCTCATGCGTATGCAACTACGATACATTACACTTTTACAATAACTACCTGTTGCAATTAAGTACGAGAGCCCTGGTACCCATACCACAAGTTAAATCTTACTTTGGGTACCAGAGGTCAACAAAACTATTGTACATGTTGAATTGTTGTAACTTATGTGTGTTTTTACTGTATGCATCTTTTTGAGACAATAAATTATATTATTATTATTATTATTATTCATCCCGTGGGTGTCGTAAGAGCCGACTACGACGACGACACTACGCAGAACAACAACACTGCAAAGAGAAGAAAAACTTGACACAAACCCTATACCAACCCGTCTGGCCAGCGTGGTACAGTAGGTCAAAGGCTCTTTTCTAAGGAGAGGCCTATGTCCAGCAGTGGACTATTAAAGCCTGTTGTTGATGATGATGATGATGAATCTCTGCTTTAATACAATATAACCTTAGATATCATGTAAGGTATGTATTTACCAAATTCAATAATTTGTTTGTAATGGTATCTACCTTATAGCCCAGAGATGTACCTATATATTGTGGAAAATATAACAAAGTTAAGAAAACAACACACCATTAATATTCTAATTCCGTTTTATATTATTATTTATTAGTTAAAACCTTCTACTATTTTATTGAAAATTGTTATTTCATAGACACTTACGAATAAAAATTCAATAACAAAACAAATATTCACAAACTTTTTTGTAGCTATTAGTAAAAACGCAGATGTGCTGTGGATGCATCTATATTGACACATTTTATGTTGATACAACGAGTACATACATACCTAAAAACACTCACTATTCAATCCGATCGATTAGGTAGAGTCGATAGAAGACTACCCTGGCAATGAACCACGGTCTTAACATAGGGCCATCAGGCCTTTATACACGCTCGCCGGTTTCTTGTGCTTTTAACGAGGCCTTCAATACACTGCCGATCTAGTAGGTATAAAGGTATGTCTTTCGGGGCTTGTCGGCACCGAATCACCCAATTGCAGTTTTTTTTCTATCACATTCACACAACGCTATCTAGTCCTAAACTAAGCAGAGCTTGTACTACGGGTACTAGACACCTGATATAAATACATACATATTATAAATAAAATACATAAATATTAAATATTATACATAGAAACACCCTGACCAAATCTAACATTAAATTTTCATGTACACAAATGCATTGGGCTGGAAATGAACCCACGACTTGTGGCGTAGCAGTTCGTTACACAAACCACTACGCCATGCGACCTTCCCCTGTAATTTTTTGTTGGTTATGTGTTAAAATAAACTCTGCCAGGCTAGTGTATTATAATTTAATTTCAAATTTAAATATTTTTTATGGTATAGTTCTTGAAAGACCGTGTGACCATTAATAATATCAAGTTAAATTAAAATAATAACGTCTCACACGCAGCAATCAGATTCGTGGTTAGATCTCAAATTAGACAGAGACTGTACTTTGGTAACCAGACAGCTGATAAATGTCCTTAGGTATATAATTTATAACAACATACATAAAAACAATAACCTATATCCAGAACAAATAATATTATAATAATAATATTCTCACACATTTCACACAAGGCTATCTGGTTCCAAATTAGGCACAGCCTGTGCTATGGTTACCAGACTGCTTTGAGAGGGTCCTCGCTGCCCGCATCGTCGGGCATTTGCGCGGGGTCGGCCCTGATTTGTCGGGCGCCTAATTCGGCTAGAGGATCGTACCGTCGTGTACGAGGAGGTGTATTTTGTCTGTCTTTGAACCACTCATGGCCACCCTTGGCCACTATTGCTCGTAAGTCGTCCCGGCTGGGGGCTCCATGTGCTGGTTTTGCCACCGTGGAAGCGCTCCATCATCATCATCCTGACATCGTCAAGTGAGCAGAGCGGCAGCACGGGATTCTTTCCTTTCCTAGGAGGGAATGGAGTCCCGCCTGTCACCACTGCGATTGCAGTGAGGACTCGGCTCAGCAAACGCTGGCAATTTTCATTGCAGTTATTGGAGGGGATCTCTCGCTTCCGGTAGTCATATGCTCCATGGCCGGTAGTGACAGTATTTTAAGAGGTGGCGGAGAGGGCCCGGGAGGATGATCTCCACTAGGATCCGATTCGCCGCCGACGAACCGCGTGTGATGCCGCCCTGAGTGTTGACGAGGGTGGACGGGACGGGTTTTGCCCTCTACCGTCTATAACGGCCAGCTGCCAGAAAGGGCCATCCGCGTGTGCCGGACATTGCCTAAATAGAGAATGTACGCAAAGGTGGTGCCCACCACGTTGCGGGCTGGTGCTAGGAGGGGTCCGGATGTCTTAATAACAGCAGTTCACGGATCCCTCTTATCACAGGCGCAGAGTGGCAGCAGTGTGGTTTTAGTCGGTCCGATTTCGACACACCACCCCGCCGCAAACCCCGGTTTCCACACAAAATGCTGAAAAAATCAGACTGCTGATAAACATAGATATATTTCTAAACAGACACAGAACAAGGTGATTTTCTTTCGGTCTTTACAATGCAACGGTGGTCCAAAGAGAGTACCAGATCTAAACATAGATTTCTCGCTAAATTTCTAAAACCGCTCAACTTTGAATTAAAATAAACTCAAACTCAAACTTTCTTTATTTCATAAAATTTCCAAAAATGTTTGAAATCGTCTTCCATGTAGACTCTAAAGTCATAGATCAACACACACAAAAGCAACAATCTCTGTTTTGTCAAATAGTAACCAAATAAATTTACCAAAAATCAAACCCGTACAAAATCTATGATATGCCTGTGCCGATCTACAACCACCCGTTTCCAAATTTAGGATTTTATTTATGTTAACCAAGAATTAAACGATAATGATTAATTTTATTCTATCACTTTTACTTAATTAAATATGACACCTTCAGGTTATGTAGTCCAATTATCGCAACCTTTCCCTAATTAGGTAGGTATTAGGAGCAACAGAAGTGTAACTCACTCACTAGTGCCCAACTTTCGATTACAAATCTATCTAAAGTTGTCCGGGAAAAATCGCTATAGGTAACAACTGTCCTTATAATAGGTAGGTACCTACATATATGTAATCATGATAATTAGGTATTTATATGATACACTGCGATTTATTTCGAATAGAAAGCGTAATAAAAGTAAAAGTGACATCTTATTTTTTTTTATTCTTTAGAATAAATTAAATACTTAAAATAACTTACATCAGTTTATACTTATGAGAACGTTTTGGTAAGGGTAAAATACTTACCTACATAATTAAATGTAAGCACATTTAATTAAGTATTTTACCCCTTTCCTATGAACCATTTCACTAATAGGAGGTCGGTAAATTGTTTTAAGTAACTAGTTTAAAGTAGATCCACTAATTAATACACTTTTAATTCTTAACTAAAATCACTTACGTTCATATTAAATTGAACTAAAATACAAAGTAGTTACAACTAATATACATAATGAAATGAAACATTAGATGGAACCACACCAAAGTACGTACCTACAAACAATATAAACAATGCGAATACATAGCAGCGTTGTCACATGTAACTGATGTGGCGCGAGGCGAGCGCGCGCCCCCCCCACGAGCGGAGCGACTGGCGCGCCGCGCGCCCGCCACTGGCGCCGCCCGGCCCGGCCTCAGCCTCCCGACACCCGCCGCCCCTCGGCCGACCAATCGCAGGCCTCGCCCCGCGCAATAGGACCGCGCCCGATCCGCGGGGCGGGGCCCTTTGAGTGCTGTAACCCGCGCCGGGGGCTCCGGCCGCCACTCTCGCCCCGAGAGCCACTAGAGGCTGAGCCGTCGAGTGGCGTCGAGTGTCGGCCGGTCGGATGTCCGCGGAGGGCGGCGACTACTCGCCGTGTCCGGCGGAGGCGCTGCCGGAGCTGAGCGCTGCCGAGCTGGCGATGAGCCTATCGCCCAAGTCGGCGCTGCTGCAGCAGAACCTGTCCCAGCTGCAGCTCCAACACTCTACACCGTTCTCCGTCACGGATATCCTGTCTCCGATAGAGGAGTACCGCAAGCTGGAGTTGGCGAACAACCCGCCGTCGCCGTACAGGTGCGTGGATCGATCGCCGGGAGGGGGGGAGGCGCCCTCCACCCGCTGATTTTTCGAGTGGCGAAGGTCCCGAGGAGAGTGCTTGAGCGTCGTTCGTAGTCGAAGGATATAGTTCTGTGACGTTTGTTTGTGCAGGTATGTTGTGATTAGCGGTCAAGTGGTGGTGTGTGCGCGGTCAACGATGTGATGTAGGCGCGCGCTACGGCTGTGAGCGGTCCTCAGCGACGACCCGCGATATCGTACAATCGATTCTCTAACAATGCCTCGTATCAATGATAGTGGACTTAACATAAATATTGAGGAACGGCATCTTTGAGCATCGCGTTTAACAATCATGCCGGTGGAAGATCAGTACTATATGTAGGTACCTGTGTACATCAAGCCACGCCTAATTAAACTCTACTATCTTTCAATTTTTTTTTCAAAGAAGTCGTTAATAAATAAATTAAAATCATTGAACACTTTTTCAAAATCAAATTCACTTTTTTAAAACACTAATAAAATATATTTACGGGGATTAAACAAATTTAAATTAAAAATTCAAATGTTAAGAACCAGCGACTATCTTCATAGTTTTAAAAAAATATACTTATTTAATAAATATTTGTGTTGAACATTTTTAATAGGCCTAATAAGTGGTAGTAGGATTTTACTTTTTAATAGGCCATACTTATTTTTTATATCCATAGATACGTTACTTTTTATTCCATAGGTTTTTTTCCTATTAGGTTTTCTGAATGACTGCTATTTAAACTCACGTTTTTAAAACATATTTTGATTTATTACAACAAAGCATTTATATAAGTTTAATAAATATTTGCAGTTAAATTTCGTGATAGTGTAAAGTGAAATTTAAATTTAAAAAAGCTAAATAGTAGATAGAAAAAAAGATACCTATCCGTTTTTTTTTGTGAATAATTGGGTAATAGGCGAAGGTAATTATTCCTGCGTATATTCTTTGGTGTACGAATCATGCTTTTATAAATCGACTTAAATTCACTTTATTACCGATCAGTGCTTTGCAGTTTTTTTTAATACAATTTCTACTCTAAATTTACACGGCAAACGAAATTCCTGGTTAGTAGTATATGGTATCTGTTATTTTAATGAATTATTTAGGTATTACTAGAGAAATAAATACGAATACCGCAGAATGGTTATGAAACAATAATAATTTGTAAACTTATAAATGAAAAAATCTGTCATTTACAATTTACACACATGTAAACGTAAATAATAGTCTTACAGGAATAACACACATCCATGTAAACCTAACCAGATATTTCGTTAGCCGTGTGTACTATAATTAATTATTTAATGTGACTTCTACATCACTTACTTACTTTTTTATTTCTTTATTTATCTACAATACAATTTCGTCGATTTGCTGGACGCCTTTAATGACGGCATTTAGACATACAAAAAACTTGGCCGTACTCAGTAAATAAAAATGCAAAAGCCCTATTTATTGAATTATTTAACAATAAGTATACATTTCTGAAACTTAAAAACGGTTCTTGGAGACCGTTTTGCTGTTATCATAAATCTTAGGGAAGCCTTTTAGGTTCGTTTAGCTTTCTCCTTCTTTTTCGGATGTTCTATTCAACTGCAATGCTGGCTACTCATGCTCGCCTGAGAGCTCACAACATACCTACGAGAGCTCACAACATACCTACGTATTCCTTTTAACTCCTCTTCACCTCCCAGAATCAGTGTTGTAACTAGCGTTTTACGCGCTCGCTGCAAGTTTCTGTAAAAGCGACCCATTTAAAACATATCCTGGTGATTTCTCGCCCCCCAGGGGCTGCGCTCTTTTCCTAGGCATCGCTGGCACCCCTCTAGTTTCGGCACTGCCCAGCATACCCACATTTTGTAGGTATTTATCAAAATTAAGAGTAACATTCCTTTTTTGTTCAGTTTTTTTTCCCGAGGTACTCAGTTCCTGTAATTACGTTCTTATAACTGAGCCATTATAAGTCAGAACACCCTAATAATTTGTCAAAGTTTATCCAAATCTCTGGATCAATTCAGCAATTACGCCGTAATTCCGGTAATTAATTTCTTTACATATTTCGAATAGGATTTTTATACTTAAAAAAACGGCGTGAGGGGTCTATGGACTCCGGTCCTTTCGCTTTTTGGTAGAAGTTTGCTATATATGTATTTGAAATATGAAAAAGATGTGAGCGTCGATGCGCCAACTGAAGTGTCGGACTTGTTACACAACAATATTCGGTCTCGCTACCATCCGTTCAGTGCGTGTAAGGCACTCTAAGGAACATCAATCATCAACAGCCTATACCAGTCCACTGCTGGACATAGGCCTCTCCTTAGAAAGGAGGTTTTGGCCTACTATACCACGCTGGCCAGACGGGTTGCTATAGAGTTTGTTTCAAGTTTTCCTTCTCTTTGCAGTGCTGTAGTCCTGCTTAGTTTGCTTCGTTCAAAAAATAAATATCTAAATAAGAACTTAAGTATATATAACTAGTTGATCCACGTAACTTCTTCTGGTTCTCTCAACAAGAATACATTTTACTCGTTTTTGCAAAATTTTTCATTGAAGTTCTGCTCCTGCTGGTCAAAGCGTGATGTTACATAGCCTATAGCCTTCCCAATAAATGAACTATCCAACACTAAAAGACTTTTTTCAATTCTAACAAACAAACAACAAAAAATATGAGTATAGATATCTAACAATTTCCTCAATTATTGTGTTGTTGCATGTATTTTTGATATATTAATTGCGAAATAAACACGGAAATGAGTATGTTTGTAAAATATTTTGGATTAAATTGTGCTGATCATGGTCACGGATCGACTAAGAGATATCAGATTTCGCAACTCTCGAAGGCCTCGCTAACCTCTTATTAAAACCACACACACCATTAGGTAGGTACAAGTTTCATTCAGTATTCAACATTTAATTATCCAGTTTAAGCCCCGGTTTACACATTTAATATGCGTATGATCTCTAAATCGAAGCTGATTAAAACACCGGTCGCCATGAACTACATAAATAACGTTGTACGCACTTTTTTTCTTAATTCCACAACACTTCCAGTTTGTTTAATACTGATGCGTCACTCGTTATAATTTATTTCAATAATAGCTGATTTGCTATTGACCTTTTTTCTTTCGACCTTATATTAACATCCTTCTTAATTGTTTGCTATTACGTGTGTTTGTTTGTGGATGACGTAAGTTTCCCAACACCAGGAAAGACGCTTTTGTGTTATTTTCACAATGAGCCCTGACATTTTCGATGACAAGTTACCTTATATGTGCATGGGAAAAAATAACTATACTACTAATATTGTGTTTAATTAATTTTGATATGTTTGGAAACTATTTTGAATAGATTGAGTAAAAAAGCGATGAGGTTTATGTTAGGAATAATGATCACAAAATCAATATCGTAATTTGCTTTGTATATGTTTGTTTTTTTTTAGTAGATTACGTATTAAATATTGAATTTCTAAAAAACTTTTAATGTTCCCATGTTATAACAGACATATATATCAAATATGTTAAAATACAATAATTTTATTAACATAATATCGCGTTATGGTACGACTGTAATTCATTTATTGGGTCCTCCATTTTTAAAAACAGTTAACAACCAAGATAATAATTCAGACATACATTCTTTCAATAAATCTTTTGATAATCAAAATAATAAATTAATTTAAAAATACAGAATTCGATTTTGTCTAGATGTGTCAATTAGTTCCAGGTCGAGAATTTAAAAAACAATTTGGTCCACTACGTCCCCATTTTCATATTTGAAGAATTCATTTTTTTCTTTATTTTATTCCATGTTTTGTTGTATTGTAAGTTTGGCGCTCTTAAATAATTTTGGAGGGATAATTTTAGACTGTGTTTTTAAGATGGCCGACTATCAGATTCGGTTGTCTATGGCCAGAACCAGTTATATAGTCTGTTGTACAAAAACAGTTGTTCGTAATAATGAAAAACTACTATTATGTTTAATTCGCATTCGATTTCATTTACGCGTTAGTTCTTTGCGATTGTAGTTTTTTTCCTTCTGTGTGTGTCATGCCACAATTTAGAGTTGAGGATATATTTAAGCATAAATGCTTCTTTTTATTATTACTTTAATTAGAGAGAATTCGTTGGGTAGTCTTTGTATTGACGGGAGTTTATTCCTGTTGGCTTTTTGGTTAGTGGTCTTGAATGCCGAGACCACAGACAAATTATAATTTTGTGAACATCACGATGATTATTTGTGTCTTTATTATTTGTGTATTTGTGTCTTTGTGTCTTTATCGATTATCCAGTCATTGATTTATAACGTCTTTAGAAATATATAAGTATGTTTCTCAGCAGTTTGGTTACCATAGTAAAAGATGTGCTAGAAGGCCGTGTGTGACACGTCAAGTAAATAATATCCGTTTCACTCTTTTTGGATAAGCATTCCTTTATAAATGCTTCATAACCTCACTCGTTTTACACACGGCCGTCTTATCTCAAACTAGACAGAACCTGTTAACCAGAATGTTGTTAAACATACATATATATGTTTAAATACATACTTATCATAGATAAATAACACCTAGACAGAACAAACGATCGGGCTCAATTCACAATCAGTTCTCCTGCGTGGGAATCGAACTCACTACCCCTAGCTTAGCAGGGTCATTAACTACTAAACCAACAGGCCCGTCGACATAAAAACACATGAGATGTTGGTCTAGACCCAGTCACGGTATTATTTGTTTTAAAACTAAACGGCGTTGTGTACCATATATCCGAAATATTATTAATATTTTTATTTGTTAAGTACGATAGCTTTTGTTTACTTAGTTAATGTTTCAATTGAACTGCGGACCGAGACGACCTTTGAACCTGTAAAAAAGTGAGCGTACTCGCACCTCTAAGGCTGGCAACACATTTATAACTAGCTGTAGCCCGCGGCTCCGCCCGCGTGTGTGTTGGTTATCGCGGTAAAAAGTAATATCTAAAACTATATAGGGGAGAGTAACCTATATTGGACTACTTTTGACATAATGGCACATATAATCGAAAGTTTTCTAGCTATGAGAATGAAACATGACTCAAAATATAGGTGATTGATTAAGTTACTAGATAGTATCCATCTGTTGTTATCGAAGCATAGTCTCTACATCAAATTTCATTTAAATTGCTTCAGTGGTAATTGATTTTCCATACTAACTTCCAGCCCAGGTCGATTTCTGGGATAAAAACTATCCTATGTCCTTTTTACTCAAATTATCTCTACACCTAATTTTATCTGAATCGGTTTAGTAGTTTAAGCGTGAAGAGGTAACAGACGGTTAGACCAACAGACACACTTTCGTATTTATAATATTAGCATGGATGGGTTAGATAGTCACTTAACTTCAGAGGGGCGGTTAACGTAACGATCGAGTTGATATGAAATAAACTCACACTGGGAGAGAGAGAGAGAGAGAGAGAGACGGGTCAACCTCAGGTGACCCGTCTCTCTCTCTCTCTGTTAGTTTGTCCCTTATAATACCTAATAATAATATTTCGGACACACAACGCCATCTAGTTTCAAACTAAGTAGAGCTTGTACCATGAAAGTTAGATTGACTGATAGAATACTTTTATACTTTTTTTTTGTAAATGCATACATTTTATGTCCGAGACCTCAGCTCAGCAGTCGCACCACTGCACCACCAAGGTGACCTATACCATGAAACAACTCCCCATGCCCATACGTTAAACGACTATCTGTTAAGCACACCATAGTAGGTATCCCTGAAGAGAATTCTCTGATAACGTATTTTAGAATCCAGGTTATTCTGATCTATTGTAACTTTTGTTAATCATTTTCTGTCGATTTTTATTTATAATTAGAAAGTTCTTTAAGTAGGGGCTTATGGAACATTAATTAATTTGTTTTTTTCGCGTAGCAACATTGCAAGTCATTGACGTCTTTCTTTAAATAAGTAAAAACATAAAGTAAATGTAGAGGTGCTTATATCTAATAAATGACCATCACGTGAAACGGTGTTTGCGGTCGCTCTCCTCCGAAACGGCTCGACCGATTTTAAATCAGCTGATAGACTATAAATTCTATGAGCCAATAAACGAGTGTGCTTCAGACCTCTTCGTGTGGTCTTGGCTATGAGAGAAATAGAGAAAGAAAATGTGTGCTCTTGCCCCTACAGTAATATACAAAACGAAACTCTATCTCTTTCTATCTACACTAACTTATATCTCCCTCTCAACTTCCGTTCGCCTCACCCGATCACACTTTTCGTAACGATCTCGTCACGTATCCACCAGCTTACTCCCCAAGTTAAGCGTGTGTAAAGAAGTTTTACTTCTATAAACTCTATGGTGTACAATATAAATAATGAAAATTAAGTTTATTAATGACTTCTTTGATACATAAACCTGCCTGTGATAGGACAATTGTTAAATGTGCTCATATAAACCACAATTTGAATTACAATATTGTCCTATAGGTCTTCCTATAAGGTGAACCGGTTCAAATTTTTTAAATAGTTAGGGACGATTCAACTTTGGTGCTTAGATAACACGAAAAGTGTCCTAATTAAGTAAATGACGGGACTTAAGCATCACCTTATTTGTAGTTTTAATATCTAACGAATGAATGATACCAGTACAAACACTTGTATATAAAAATATGTAATTATATTACACAATATTGTTACATAAAATCATTACACCGTTTAAAAACCTAAGAAGCATACCAAAGAGATTGTATAGTTTGACAGGCCGTTACTCAAGCGTTAGATTTAACTTTTTTTTAAAAGCCAAACATTGCAAGAGCATGTGTTTGGTTTGACCATAGATAAGTGCCTGCTCACACCTATCGATTTTTCCGCTGCAGATAAATAAACATTGTTTAACATGATGACAAATAGACAATTGCTGTTATTTTACTGAGCTTGGAAATGTTGTGGAATGATTTAAAGAAAGTGTAAATAAAATATATTCAGTGCGAGGGCAATGAGGAGAAAGAGGAAAAAATAATCCTTTTATATACCTACCTATATTCTTTTCTTTCTTTTTCTTTTTTTTTTATGAAGATATGACCAGCTCTTTTTTTTGTAAATATTCTGCTCTGTTTAAAGCTTTCTTTTTTCAACTCTTTGATATGAGATTCAACGAGTAGGTACGTATTTTTGTAAAAAATGTGATTTCTTTGACAGCTTCGCTCACGTTATCGTATATTTTCAATTAAAGAATTAGGTACTAATTGAATATCCGCATGCGCCTGTCGTCGTATCTTCATTATACATTTTAAAAATGTGAAAGTGAGTTTGTTTGTTACGCTTTGACGCCTAAACCACTAATCCGATTTTAAAAATCTTTCACCACTTTTTACCGTGATAACCGACAATACGCGGGCAGAACAAAAGCAAGTACACTAATAAAGTAAACATAGAGTTTTTTTAAAGGTTTTTTTTTAACACACTAATCTTTCACACTATCGGACAGTATTAATTAATTTTTGTACTGCACAGAGTATTTATTGAAGGGGGTCATACGATATTATATTAACTTAGGCTATGTACGAGTACCTAAACCTTGTTTGAGGCAGTGTCTCAATGCGTAGGTGAAATTGCGGGGCACTGGATACTTATGAAAATATTTTTTTTTATCTTAAAGTTATACTTAGTTAACTATGTCTCTTGTCTGTAAGTATCTTTTTTGTTCCACGTGCGATCTTTTTACTCACCCGCGGCTCTGGTCCCGTAAAAGTATTTTTTCCAACTTAGATTAAGTACATGTTTTTCTATATGAAAGTTCATCACATCATCACATCAACACCCTTTAATAGTCCACTGCTGGACTTAAGCCTCTCCTTAGAAAGGAGGTTTTGGCCTACTATACCACGCTGGCCAGACGGGTTGTTATAGGGTTTGTGTCAAGTTTTCCTTCCCTCTGCAGTGCTGTTGTACTGCGTATATGAAAGTTATGTAGATTTTTTTCTTTGCTAAAATCGGATAACGGTGCGACAGTACATCAAATACGCACAAACATTTATTGATTTTTGAGATCATATTGGTATTTGTTTAAAGAAAGCCCAAAAAAAGAGTTCCTACCACATGAACTCTTTCATTCCTTACTATAAATATAAAGCCATTTCCTCTCACTAATGATTAGTTTCAATATAATAGGTATAGACATATAGACATTGACACAGATAATTGTGTTACTAATGTAAATTATTGAAATTTTCACCACGCCGGTGCCAAGAAATAATAAATTCCAATTTAATTATCACGAAACCAATTAAAGCGCATACCATATTAAATTGAATGATAACAATCTGTAAATCAAATTAAAAATTACTTCAATTATTACGGGCCCAACTAAAACGTTTCGCGCCATCGTTTCCCGCCCTGTCAAAACTCAATTTGTCAAACCAAACATCGTAATAGCTCCAGGGGTGTAACCATAGACAAGGATATATTTACAGATTAAAATAATTGTTAGGTACGTTACAGAGTTGAATTTAAGGTTTAAAATCGCCTCTTAAATATTTTTCGTAACGCAGGAATGCCTCGATAGGGAGATTAAATTGTGTAAATAGGGATTAGGCAGATAAGCCCGGTATTGTTTGAAAGTGACGTGTTGGCGCCTCATCGGGTAACGGTTGAGAAGACTGTGTGTGGCAGATTTGGGTCAAATTTACTTTAAGTACCTACGCGTTTAAGTATATAGATAATTTTAGAGGCAAAAAGTTGACGTCCGAAAAATACGAGTCATGAATGAATAAAAGTTATGAAAGAAAGATGTCAGTTCGAGAGGTGTGCACAAAACAGAACTATATTGTATTTATTATTACTTGTCATTTGTTCATTGATATATTTAAACGTGATCAGTGCATCTCTTTAATGCATTGCTCTAGCAGCTACCCAAAAAAAAAACAAAAAAAAAAACTTTAGCTTATGGTATAGTTTTTTTTAAAGAATTTTAAAGGGTAGTCAAAGCAGAATTAAGCTTTGATTTCACAAGCGTTTGCACTATGGTGGCCGGTTAAGGTTACAGACCACGCTTATAAAACTCAGTACTTAGCATTAGAAAACATGAATTATCTTTTAATAATAAAATCGTATTTTCCTGAAACTCGTTCAAATTTTAACAGATACTGTTAAAAGTAGAATACATTATAGTAGAATTAGAAAACCCGAATATCTATCACCTTGTATCCATTTATAGTATATATTTAAGCCTTATTAGGCTGACAAGCCGAAGCTTTTTCGAAGCTCGCCTTCTTTTTTAGTTTAGACATCGTGACTCATATATGTAAGTAACTTTTCTTTTTAATTGTCTCTCAATTCCACAATCTAACTTGTCTATTTCTTCCAGATCGAATTCGTCAGGCAGCAGCATTAATTCCCCACTGGGACCGTCCTGCGGGATGGCGACGAATCCGTACGCCGTCCCGCTGTACGGCGGGGCCCCGGTCCAAGGCTACGGTTGTGGGCCCGCAGACCTCCCGCACTATGGAGACATGAGAGGCGCTGGCTGGTACCCCGCGTCCAACGACCCCAGGTTTGCCAGTGAGTCGACAAGTCTTTTTATTACATTATTTTGGTGATGGTACTTTACCAAAGACTAGATTAAGTATTATTTTCCAGCCTTGTAGATCCATAGACTATTATATGTCTATTAGACATATCAATCTGTCATTAACACAACTAAGTAATTGGGTTCTGCAATTGGTGTATTTTAGAAGATAATCCCTACATATCTACATCAAATTAAAAAAAAAAATTAGTGAGCCTTACTGTAGTCGCTTATGCATCTGACATCTCACCTTTATTCATAGACATTCATCATAGACATTAGACGGTCAACTCTATCACCGCGCGCTCGTTGGTCAAATCAAAAAGCGCTCGCTTCTCAGGCTTGCTGTTAAACATTTACGTCCCGTTGCACGAAATCATTCTCACAAATAGTAGGAAACCAAGAGGAAAGATGTTAAACAACTTAAAATTGTTTTTATAACAAACGGTTGAATACTCAAAAATTGCTGTTTCATTGCTCAATATTTATCGTAATGTCGTTCTCTTACCGTGTTTCTCAAGTAAATAAGTTAAAATACTGTTGTGTAATTAAAGTAATTGATTTAGAACATCACTGAGTAATTAAACATCGCCATTTATAAATATCTACTTAACCATAGTCAATTGGATACAATTGACTATGGTTAAGTAAATTAATAATTTACTCATTAACGCGTTGGGCCTTAATGAGTAAATTATTAATTTAACTGGTACGCAGCAAATATTGTCGCTGCGTACCGTGTGGTGACGGATTAAGAATACAGAGTGTCACCACCCCTATTCATCACGTAGGTGTCGTAAGAGCCGACTAAAGGAGAAAACTACGCAGGACAACAGCACTGCAAAGAGAAGAAAAACTTAAAAAAAACTCTATACCAACTCCTCTGGCCAGCGTGGTATAGTAGGCCAAAACCTCCATTGTAAGGAGAGGCCTATGTCCTGCAGTGGACTGTTAAGGGCTGTTTAAAGGGTTTTTCTAAGAGGAAACATACTCTAAGTTACTCCTGATATAGACAGCTACTTGTTAGTAAAATATTGTAAAAATCTGTCCAGCCGTTTAGAGAACAAACAAACGGACAGACAGATAGACAAAAAAATGTGATAATTAAACATAGATACCTACTAGAATCGATCTAGGTATCGTGGAAATAACCATGTGAGCATTAAAAAACCTATTATTTTGATATTATAAACAGACAATTCAATTTTATTTATTTGTATAGATGTCGTGATGGTCGGTTGAGTAGTTAGGGCGTGGAAACGTACCAAACAAACTGATATTCGCATTTATTATATAATTAAAGCTTTGTCAAGTCACAAAATGTTCAGCTGGATGTGCGAGCACCGAATATGCAGCTTCGAAATGGCTCGTTGTTATAATACCGGTGAAACAGCTATTTAAATTTATCTAGTTGTAAATAATCTTGACTGCTGAGCTAGAGATCGAGGATTCGATTCCCACCCTTTTTTTTTTCCTGTGCGGCAATCCCCTCGGATACCACTTACCGGTGGCAATGTCGGACTCGAACCGACTAAAACCGCACGCCGTCTCAGGTACCAGTAGTCGGGGAACCAGGTGGCTCGCCGCCACCCCGCCCCTGCTTCTGCTAGGGTGACAGATGGCCTCACCTGACACCCCCAGGCCTGCGCTTATGGAGGACAGAGGTCGTTCTGCTACCTCCTGCGCCTGAGTCATCTGCGATACCTGGCCCGTTCCCAAGCCTGGAGGGCCGGGAGAATTCTAAACCTCTCCCGGTCCCGCTCCGCCATCTCCTTCGCAAGCATAACTTGCTCGCAGAAGGAGATAGGAGATCGATCCAAACCCAGGACAAATAAATATGTGATGAGTACGATCATTTGTTCTATGTCGTGGTGAAATTTATCTATTATATGTATGTATTTAAAATGTAGTACGTTTATCATAGGTCTGGTTACTATAGTACAGTCTCTACCTAATTTTGAATCAGACAGCCGAGTGTAAGAGTGTCAAAAAACTTAACGAACAGTTGAATAGTTTCTTCGTCTTTTAGCAGCGAAACATTGACGCGGTCATTCGGTACATATACAATTAAAAATAATAGATCAATGTTCAATTCAAACAAGTTAGATAACAATACAAAAAAGTTTAATTGAATTCAAATTATTGTCAATTACAGAACACTCGTAAAAACAGCAGTGTGTACAAATATTGGTCTAAGGATCACTTTATTATCTGTCTCTACGTGAATATAAAATACTATTTATCGAAGATTATTCAGCATGATTTTACTATTTTAGTTATGCAAAATAGTCACCGTATACGTGATTGATGATGTAACTTTGTAAGGTACATAACCCTAAATAATACCTATAGATATAAATATGTTAAGTTGGTTTGTGTACTTATCAAAAACTCAAAAAGATCTCCACCGATTACCTACGCTCAAATTTTGAAACAATATATAAACCGCTTCAAAGATTGTTTTTATCTATTTTTCCACGTTAGTTTTGTATAATTCAACGATAAAGTGCAACACGGAAGCGTGGTAGAGTACAGCTAGTTAGGTATTAATGTAATTGTAAGTTTTTTTGTGACGACTCGGGTACCACTAGCGGGGGAACCAGGTGTAACATAGAAAGGAAATCATTATGCATCAGCCGAGAATCGATCTAGGTGGCGTGCAATTGGAGAGGCCTATGTCCAGCAGTGGACTGCGAAAAGTTGATTATAATGATGATGATACAATCATCCATCACACAATAATTGTTCCCTTTTAAACCAAGCATCGAAAACAAATCAAATTATGCTTTGTTGCAACCATAGACAATGTATCAAATTAACGTGACAATGGCCGTACAAGATGGCGGGCGTGCCCGCGCATGCGCCCTACCGGCTACTATGCCACACGCACGTGGAGGCGTAGGGTAACGTACGCCAATTTGATGTAACACGACACTACCTTTCGTATTGCTAATTTGGAGTTCAGTGGTTAAGTGATATGTCTATTGGTATTATACGCAAAGGTGTTATAAACGCAATGTTGGGTTGGCTTAAAAGGATATCGATTACGTATATTTCAATAGACTTTGACTTTAATACGTTTTTTGCATTTCCTTCTTTTTCTTCATTTTATACTGGATGCAATAGATGTTTAAGATATACAATACTTGTAAAATTATGATAATGAGCTGTGCAAGGCCTTTCAGCAGACTTATCGAGACCTTCTAAATTCAAATTTTGCTTTTACTTTTATTTCTTTTTTTGTTTGATTATACCGATAACTATGGCGGCACCTGGAACTTCAAATATTTATGTGTTATCTATAAACATTGCCAGTATTAATAATAACATAATGTGTTTGTTAGAGCATCCTAGTTTTAGAAAGCCACGGATCAACACATAGGTACGTCGAGTCGTAGGCATTATCGAAATATAGGTTTTTCAATTTACTTTTGTTACCGGAATATCATAAAAATATTAAAATTAAAGTAAAAGTATGTACCGAAGTTGACACATAAATCAGAACTCATTTGCCAGATCATTTCCAAAACAGAAGTGTCTCAGATTGCGAACACGAAACTTCCCCAACAGAACAAACACCATTAACTGACGTTAACAAAAAAAGCAGATACGTGCCGCGCTACCACGCTGTCATCTTAGCCAAAGATTAAATTGTCATCAGAGGTGTCGAGCCAATAAAATATTAGGTTACTGCCAACGCTTCGAATTTCAGCAAACTTAGCCATATTTTCAAGAAGGAGTAATAAAAAAAAGTTATTGTTTTTAAAACAGTATGATTTTAATGCATATCTGGTTTTATTCGCTTTTATCGTTTATTCGAACGAATTAGTATATTTCGTAGTATAATGTGTAACAAGATTTCTTTCCGACACTATAACAAATGTCTACCAAAAAGCGAAAGGAACTTCTTTCCGACCGGGGGTCCGTAGACCCCTCACCCCTTTTTTTATTTTATCCTGGGAAACAATTGATTAATAAAATTGTATCTCTTGGTTTAGGAATAAGTGAAAATGAAATACTGAAATAACAAACCAGTTTTTTTTTATATAATGCAGTCACATTAGCTGGTAATCTTACTTTCATGGATTTCGCTTCATATTGCGTTTTTTCAAGCATTTTTCTATAGTTTTCATAAAAACAATAAAACGAAAAGAAAGCTTTAAATGGCAAACCAATAGATAAAAATAACCATTAAAAATAAAACTTCCGACTTAAGTAAATTGCCAATGTATAGGTGGGTAATCGTAGTTAAACAAATTAAATATTATTGTATTGTAGAATTAACTACTTGGATGACATAATCAAAGAAATTCTTCTCCAAATACTATACGAAATCGCTATTCGCGAGATGATGACAAATCGGTTGGCATATTTGAAATTCATGTAGAAAATATTTATGGCAAACCCAATGAATAGTGTGAGGTTTTAGCTGAAGTGAATGTACGCACTGGTATTATTACTAGTCACTAAACGATTAAAAGTTAGTCTTTCGTTATTTTATTGGAGTTCTTAAATAATTGGTTACTTGAATAATTACTACTAGCTACTAGAATAAAGACATCAATCGAAAGCAAAAGAGTGTCACATCTATATGATAATCTTTGATCTATATTTGTAATTCGATATATCTACGGGAGCGTATTAACGCAGGTGCATAGAGTATCGTTTGATTAAGTACACAGACAAGATTATTTGTTTATGGGTACGTTTTCGATGAAATGGACTACTTCTCGAGATTCCAACAGGTTAAGTTTACGCTCAGTGTTTGTTAACGGTTTGTAGACTATAAATAAATTATATATTACTGCTCATTTAAATAATGTTCCGAGAAATATTGAATAAGAGGATACTGGTTGCTTTGTGGAATTAAGGTATAAAAAAACGTTCGAGCTTTATTTGTTTTGTTTACTTAGATGACGTAATAGCAGTGGTTGTATATCTGTGTTTGGAAATAATTGTGAAGTGATATTTTTTCAATTTTTTTAATAAAAAGTTGGTTTTTACCATAGCCCATGACAGAAAGCGGATACAAGTCCATATAAAACTTTAAAAAGCATTAAAATAAGTTTATGCTAGTAGCGTTACTTAACTTTTGTCGGGGGCTAAGCTTTTATATCAAATGTCTCTGTGCCCTAGTTTCTCTTACATCAATTAAAAAAACTCGAAGATGTGAACATTAAAAATACTCGTTTTAATAATGTATACAAATAGCAAAGACCATGAAGGATAATTCATAAACGTAAAGAAGCGATGGGCACTAAGGTATTTTTAGACGGAATATTTTACAATAGCAGCCCTGCAAAGTATTGTCAAATCATGTTTGATAATGTTATTTATAATTTTTCTTGGTTTATTTATGGTAACAAGTGGCACAATCTAGATTTTAGAGTTATTAGAGTTTTAAAGTAATAACTGACTAACTAAAAAACGTAATTTCAACGTAGTCCACATATTAAATCCGCCGTCTCCTGCGAGCTACCGAGACGGCTTGCGGTTTTTGGGTCGGTTCGAATCAGAAATAACCACCCCACCAGTGGGTGGTACCCGAGGGGATTGCCGCTTAGAAAAAAATAATCCACATATCAAAAAAGTAGATTTCTTACGAATTGCCAATTTGATTCGAAATCAGTTAAGTAAATCTATACTCTGACATTTGATACATTTTCTCTGTACTACATGTACAGTAGCATAAAGTCTTTGATTGATTCATAAAATTATAATTAGTATAAATCAAAGCCAAATAAACTCTACACGGCGTTTTAAATTTCAATTTAAAAACTTGGGCATAGTTAAAAGAAAATAAACTAATAAGCAACAGATTTTCAAGTCAAGGGCACATTACGTTACCTAAATTAGTCCTACTTTTATGTAAAACATGCCGTAGTAAGATTATCATAATCAACAGTCTTTATTAGTCCACTGCTGGACATAAGCCTCTCCTTATAAAGGAGGTTTTGGTCTACTATACCACGCTGACCAGATGGGTTGGGTCAAGTTTTCCTTCTCTCTGCAGTGCTGTTGTCCTGAGTAGTTTGCTCCCTTAGTCGCCTCTTACGACACCCACGGGATGAATAGGGGTGGTGACACTCTGTATTCTTAATCTGTCACCACACGGAGTAAGATTAAGGGTATTTAAACTAGCCTGAAGCTTGACCCAATGATTCACAAACTAATTTTAATAAGAAGTAAAATTTCAAAGTTAACGGTCACCGCAATCAGTCGCCACTTGAACAGAAGACAATACGGAGCAAACACAATCAGTAATTTAATCTGAATTCCGAAGAAACTCCAGTAGTTCTCGAGAAAGTATAAATAGTATTGTTTGTTGTGGATCACGATGAAGACATAACTTGTGTAAACCGGTCTTAAAGTTTTAATTTAGAGGTTGTTGAAAACATAGTTTGTCAAGGCATTATGTTACATTTACACAGGGTAAGATGTTTAAGATTCTGCCTAATTGACTATTAATATCGACACACATTTGATTTTTAAAGAATAAGATAAGTTAGAATTGACGCAAAAGTACTAAACACATGGAAGTAAAAACAAATTAAATACTTTGGTAATTAGACGATGAAATAATATGGTTTAAAAATCTTTGGAGTAGAACTCAACTTTTCATTGAATGTTATAATTATTGTTGTGTTGTTACGATCATATTCAGGAAAAGTAATCTTAATTAAAAATAAGTATTAATATAAGATTAGACGTGGCGGGCTTGACATTTCTTTATTTAATAAAGGGTTGAAAGAATATGAGAATATCCAAAAACTTATTTATAAAAGAAAATGGTTTCTTAAGGAAAATAACATATTATAATTTATAATAATAATAAAGTTAAAAGGAACAAAAAGATGTTGAGCAAAATAATAATTAAACGGACCCTAAACATTAGATGAGAAAGATGGCAATCTATAGTGATTAAGGAGGGAAATAACACGAAAGCAATTAATTAAACGGAGGAAGTATTAATCCTATTAGTTGTTGTTACAGATTTACTTGAATTTGATTAATAAGTTTGCATAGTGACTATTAACATTGTGTAGCTATAAAATCTAAATAAATATAAATAGTTTTATTTTTTATTTTACTATCACGGCACTCATAATCTCATTAGTATCATTTTGATTCATAATGTCAGCAACAAACGCTTTATTTAAAAATCTACAATAAAGTTCAAGCCCGATAGACGGATTACATAATAGTCATAGATAAGAAAGAAAACAGAATACAATCGAAACAAAACCAATAGCTTGTTTAACAAAATTTACAAATAATTTAACACAATAATACACCACGCTTCCGCACGTATGAGTATCTTTGAGAACAGATTAAAACGGTAAACTGTCGAGTGATGTTCAACGCAGGAAAAACATTTCGAAGGCCCACCGTATTGTTTGAAATAAAAATGTCAAAGTGACCCTAAGAATGGTGCCCTGAGGCACGCCCGTCGTCCATACCTGTTGTACTAGGGAGCCTCTGTAGACAGACAAAATAAGCAATTCCATTTGATCGGGCCCATATTTGCCCACCACTAGAGACTTGACTGTGTAAACCTTAGGCCTCACGTCCGCAAATAACGCCATGACGGTGCATTCGAAGGCTTTGGTCGATTCAGGAGAAAATATTTATATTTATTTTAATGTGTATGGTAATTGGTATTCGATAGTTTTCTGCCAGCAACGTTAAAGGTAAAATTCTTAAAAATGTAGTAATAAAATAGTTAGGTTATTGACTCAAGCAGAATGCGATACTCATTAACAAAACGATTTACTTGGATTTTTTTTCTATCAGTCTTCTAAATGGCTGCCGTTTCATCTAAATAAATGTTTTAGTATCTAAAAGTCATAACATTTCTTTGTTCTTTTTATCATAAACAGATTCTGTTGAGTTACAATGTTTGTTGAGGTGATAATAAAAGGTTTTCATATTTTAATTTCAATGAACATTACGTACGATGACGCAGTTTTACGACAAATAAATTTAAGCCTTATTTAATGTAGATTTAATGTTTTGTAAAAATTGTGGTAGGATCAATGTGTCTCTATCAAGAAATAAGCGTGGCCTAAATTACATATTTAGGATACTTTTAGTTCAGTTAAAAATATTACGTTCTGAGAATAGTTTGAAATGTTTTAGATCGTTGGCCAATGAGTTACGCGACTATCAATGCTAGTGTTACAAAAAAAACGCGCATTTTAAAACTGGCCGATAGCATTTTTCAAGTGTTGCGAGGTTGCGACATCATACTCGTACATACCCACGGTCAGCGGTAAATTAAAATTGCCGCGGGGAAAGAAATAAAAGTGTGTGACACACTTAGTTTCCGAGCAGGCGCGTCTAATGCGAGCGAGTGGCCGCGTCACCCACAGCCCGCCGTTTATCTTCTTTAGTGTGGCCACATTGAAATAACTGCGGAAATGTTTGCTATTTCATTTCCCAACATCTTTGTTCGTTTGTTTACATTTAGAAATGGTGACAGTTCTGTTTGGCTGTCCAGCAGTGGGTGCTCTAGTTAATATAGTAATTGTTAGCTTTTAAATGAGCACTTCTGAGCCTTTGCTTTGACGTACGTACGTTCAGACCATTTTAAGATTTTGCTGGTAATAGATAATAATTAGGTATAAATTCCTTTTTCGTTCATCAATCG